AAGAGAAGATCCAAATACATTTTCACTAGAATTCCACAAGACATTCTCTAACTGGATTCCTTATCCTTTTTAATTTTATGACTAAAATTTGGAATAAATAAAATACACAACATAAACTGACACGATAACTGATCCTAGACTTGAGCGTAGTGGCATACATGCATCCTACAATCTGTTTTGACTTGTTCAGCATCCTCTCCACCATCTTCCATCATTGTGTTGATCATGTGATGGTACAGACTCTAGCTTGGTAGGGTACATGCATCCTACAAACTGCTATCATGGGCAGTTACTGAACCTCTTTCGGTTTGACTTTTTCTGCATCCTCTCCACTATCTTCCATCGCTGAATTCATCACATGACGTACCTTATTAGAAAATAAGCCTAAAAGTTTGTAGAAGCATAGATGTTATATTTTGATCCAGCATGCACTTGAAATTTTGCTTTTTCCTTTGAAGCTTCGCTAAATATAACTGAAGGATTATATCAAAAAGAAAATAGCATGGGACAAAAGGGGAAACTAGATTTTTTTCCTATAAACTGAGATCTTTTTTCGAAATTGGCACATGAACTACAAAACACCATGCAACATAACACTTGCTAATATTTAAGTTTAAAATGTAAAATAAAAACCTCATGGAATATCAAACACCAAACACAACATCAAGGGAGTTATTTGTGATTCAAGATCATGTGACAAAAAAACTAGAAATGATAAATTTATGGCATAAGGACACAGTTAATTGCACAGAGTAGAAGACTGTGTCTATTTTGGGCGATTAATTCTCTTTTCTAGCCATCTATATTGATTTCGTACGATTGAGAGTATGATCAAGGACATGAAAGCAATTTGACTGGAAAACGTGAAGATTTTATTAGCTAGCTAAGATATGCTTAAAAGAATAATAGATACCTAAACAGACACTCATATGGTTCTCTATACATATATGTTTAAAGTCGCTATTGGGGCTGAAAATATCCAGATAATATGAAACTATCCACGAAATTGCCCAAGAAAATTATGGATTTACTGAGCGTTTTAGTTTTACACTTCTAAATTTAAATGTTTTAGTGAAACTTAAACGAATTTTGCTATAAAGACGGTTTTAATATAAATAAAAGCCATTTTATTGAAGTGGAAGCATTGATGTGTATTTTGAATGAAGATTTCGAAAATAATGTATATGATATCAGGAGTTTGTACATTTATTTATAGAGTCGCAGTCTTTGACATCCTTTCTATGTAACTCTATAGATTTTAATTTTTTCCCCCTTGTGAGATGTTATTACAGCGAACATGCTGAAAAGTATGGCTTTGGTGTAGTGGAACGTTTTGTTGGGCATGGTGTGGGAGCAGTGTTTCATTCGGAGCCAATAATCCTACATCACCGTAAGTGATCTTTTAAATTTGACATTTTCCTCATTGCATTTACTGTATCAGAAGCTAATGTTGGCTCCATCATTTATATATTCGGGGAACCTAGTTGCATGTTAGTGCTAAATTTTCAACTTCAGGCGGGAAAATTTTCCTGTTTTTATACAGAGTGCCAGGTCATTCACTTCAAAAAAATTTTGTTGATTATTACAAATGAGACTAGTAAAACGGTGCTTGTGCTTACTGATTCTTATCCTCTTTTCAAGTCGGTGCTAGAATCTCATGAAAACCCAAAAAAAAAAAAAAAAAAAACCAAAAAGCCCTGTATATTGCTTCCCTTTGAGGTGTGATGACCGGTTATATATTATAGAGTCTTGTTTAATGCTTGACAGGTAATGACAATCCTGGTGTCATGGTAGAAGGTCAAACATTTACAATCGGTAAAGTTTATACAGACTGCTTCTCTCTAATGGTCAAGCTGGGTGTCAAGTCTTTGAATTTTACTTTTTTACCCTTAAAGTTCAACATCAAATGCTGAACCCATTCTTACAATGGGAAGCACCGAGTGCATTTCATGGCCAGACAACTGGACAGCCGTAACAAAAGACGGAAGTCCCGCTGCACAGTTTGAGCATACCATTTTGATAACTCGCACCGGAGCTGAAATTTTGACAACATGTTGATGAGGTAACTTCTACTTTTTTTGCACAAAGATCAGGTCACTTCTAAAGTCTTAAAATTATGCATCTTTGCAAGTTGTAAAATTTGTGTGTTCTTCACTCTACCACTGGAGAAATTTACATGGAATTTATGCACATGCAGGTGAAATGCCCCTTGAGAACCTCAAGGTCACTATCCCTACAGAATCCCAATGTTGAGGGCACTCACAGTGGAGATGTGACATGGAGATAGAGAGATTCAATGGTAAGCCTTTTATAAAAATTTTTTACGTCTACACTTCACACGTAAAGTCAGTGCAAAGAATTAATAAAAACTCATTACAATAGATTTATCAGTGGATTCTGTCTCTCAGAAGTCCGCATTTATGAGTAATTGACTTTTTTTTGTTTTGGCTATAGAGTTATTTGACTTTCTGTACCCATCTTAGGTGCAAAGACAACTGTAGAGTTTCTGCTACACACCAAGTCAAAGCTATTAGCATAAAGCATTAAAGCTTTCAGTTGGACCTGCCTCAAAAAAATTGTGGAATTGTAAAACAATGCAGGCATGAACTATGTATAGGGATTGTCTAATTTCGTATTTGGAGGTCCTTGGAAGTCTTCTTAAGATGAGAATTTTAAAAGATTTCTGGATATAGGCCACAGGAACAGTAGACGAAGCTGAGCAGGATGTGCTTTTTCCAGTAACGTTAATCTCAGTTCGTTGACGAAAATGAATTTTCGAACCAGTGCACAACTCAATCATAATTATAGCATATTGTTGACGAATGTTAATCCCTGGACCCTCTCAAAAGAAAATGTACATGGATGCATGGAGTAGATATAGATAGGTTTTCTGAAATCTTCCCTTTTCCTACTTAAGGGTGTGTTTGGATGAAACTAAACCGTGGTTTGGAAAAGTGATTCTGGAAAATAGATTCTGTGAAGAATGATTTTGTAAAAAAGTGATTCTGAGAAGTGAGAGTGTTTGGATAGTTGTTATCAGAAGCATTTTTTATATATACAAATTACTAAAAAAAATACATAAGTTAATATGATAATTACAAAAAAATAGATTTTATGATATATTTTAATTTGAAGGAATAAAATTATTAATAATATATTTTTTATCAACATAATTAATAATACATAAGATAATATAATTAATAAATAATTAATATGTATATATATTTATAAAATATAAGATTAAATATGTTTATAAAAAAATAACAAGATACATATTCTATAGGCTCTCACACTCTCCCTTTTTTCTCCAAAAGCAAAATTTTTTTGCTTTTTCCAAAACTATGGTTTTGGTTTTTGGGTGGGTGTTTGGGTGATTTATTTCCAAAACTATGGTTTGGGGTGTCACCTAAACACACCCTAAATCTGTCGTTGAAATTGTTGCTGGTTCAATTATGACTCAAGTTATTCATCATCACTTTCCTAAGAAAAGGTCTAAATTGCTAATTTTCTTACTTGGAATATCAGCTGCTAAGGTCAATCGCTTGATTATTTGATCTAAATTTGTTATGAATTATTATTTACTTTTAATTTTTAAAATAATTGGACTGTCTATATTGACTGGACAATTAACATTTACTTGAAACAGCCCATTCTTTTATCTCAGATTGAGACTATTCAAATTAAAGAAAGCAGGTCAGGTCAAAATAAATAAATAAAGTAGGGATTACTTGGAAATAAGATAAAATTATATTTAAAGTTGCATGTGTTATGAAGTTGTTGACGGTTAGGAATAAAATGTCTCAACTTGTAGAATCTGTCTTATTATAAAGTAAAAAAATTTCGACTTGGCAACTAATGGCTTCTAGCCAGTAAATTCTCGTGAAGTCTATATACATACGTATATATTATTGATACAGATTAGCAGCCACTAGAACCAAGATTCCTCTGCCAAATCGACTTTTTAATGATAGTTTTATCTGTAATTGTCGATTAAATGCTGCCACGTCCCTATATATTTAGGGTGAAAATGACCTACTGAGATGGAAAATTCAAAGCAGAAAACATGAAGGAACCAGATCCTCTCAGAAGCAATTTTCTCAGCGTCCCTCAAAATCCTAAAATCCAGTCCGTTTAAATGATCGAAAAGCTTACATTGCGACAAGTCATCAAGCTGTCCGGTCCCACGAACTCCAGCAATGCGTCTTCATTCTTCAACCGTCAGTTTCTCGGTTTCTCTCCCCTCTTCTGACCCCCTAACTTTCGGCTTCTCTCTCCTCATTACTTGCTTTTGGGTTCTTGTATTAAAAACAGAACTTTTTTTTTTCGGTGATGGAAAAAAAAAAAACAGGACTTTTGTTGAGGATCAGATTCGCCTAGTGAAAGAGAACCATACACATGCAGTGTTTCTACATATTGGTGATCCCTCAAGTTTCTATGCTGTTCAGTGAGTTAGCGACAAAGACTTGACCCACAGCCCTCCAATTCAGAACGAGGCTTTACTTGCGGTGGCTCTCGAAATGTCGCTAAAGAGAGGATTGGCGAATGCCCTGTGTTGCAGGGAATTAAAGCGGAGGAGGATAAGTAGTGAGAAATAGATGTGAGGTTGAGAAAGAACAGCCATGGAAGGTGTGCGATGAACAAGATGGCTATTTACCAACGGGCGTGTGGGGGTCCGAAGACGGGAAGAGAAAGAGAAGTCCAAGGCTGAAGACGCACTGCTCGTATTTGTGGGACCAAACATACTGAGAAGACATTCAATTTTAAAGCTTGATGACTTGGCACAATATGAACTTTTAGATGATTTAAATGGACTGGATTTTAAGACGCTGAGGGACGCTGAGAAAATTGCTTCTGAGAGGATCCGGATCCAAACATGAAGCTTCCACGCGGGTGTCTTTGTACGATTGGCTCTTGTCCGAAGCCAACCTTTTTATACCATGTACCGTTTATTTTATACGTAACCGAAGACCAACGTGGGATAAATACCGATTTTTCTAATGGTTTCCCATTTATAAATATGAAAGTCTCTCTTGGATCCACCATTCTGCTCTCAGCTACTTCCTCCTCCATCACCATCGTCTATGGCTTCCACTGGTTCTCTGAAAATGGCCTCTTCCCTCAGAAGTCCGACACCTTCTTCTCACTCCCAAAAGCAATTGGGTTGTAATCTTTTTCAGTCTTTTCCCAACCAAAGCTTGAAATTTTCAACAACCCATCAAGTTTCTCCATCCTTCAAAGTTTCCCACAACTCCAGAATCTCAGCTTTCTTCTTTAACAAGCCCAATCAGCCGCAACAAGATCCTCCAAAGCCAAGTAAGTATTCTCTCACCCCCTTTTTCCCCTTCCTATTTTCTCTTTAATTTCCAATTGTTTGATCCTTTTCCTATATCCGCGCTTTCTTAGAGGATCAAATCTACACGAAAAAAGTTTCTTCTATTCCTTCCTGACTCACTGATGAGCTGCATAATTCATACGGTGCAGGCAAAGTTCAAGAACTGAGTGTGTATGAGATCAACGAACGTGACAGAGGCAGCCCAGCATACCTGAGGCTAAGTGGGAAGCAAGAGAACTCACTGGGGGACTTAGTTCCATTCAGCAACAAGCTCTACTCTGGGGACTTGCAGAAGAGGATAGGCATAACATCAGGTCTATGTGTGCTCATACAACACGTTCCTGAGAAGAAAGGAGACAGATATGAGGCTATTTACAGCTTCTATTTTGGGGACTATGGCCATATCTCAGTTCAAGGAGCTTATCTGACATACCAAGACACAGTTCTGGCAATCACAGGAGGGTCTGGTCTATTTGAAGGAGTACAGGGACACGTGAAACTTCATCAGATTGTGTTCCCTTTTAAGCTTTTCTACACTTTCTCTTTGAAGGGTATTGCAGATTTGCCTGATGAACTCACAGTGAAGGCTGTGACTCCTTCGCCCAGTGTTGAGCCTTCTCCTGCCGCTAAAGCCGCTCAACCTCAGGCTGCTATTCCTAACTTTACCACCTGATCTTATGTTACTTTCAACTATTTCTGTTTCCTCAATGGATTATTGTCATTGTCCTTATTATTTCCTTTAAGCCTTGATCCTGAGATACAATGATGTTTGATTGTCAATCATTCTAATATCATAATGTACTTTTTAATCTCCGTCTCATGATGCAATTGTATTGTTTATTTTTGTATGTGCCATTTGAGCTTGGAGGTATGTCTTGGTTTTGGTGAAACTTAAGAATTTAACTCAGCTAAATTTTTTTCTAATCAAAATAGAAAGATTTTATGGTTGAATGCAAAATGAACTAGTTGCAATATGTGCCTTTGACGATGTGTTTGAAACTCTATTAGTTTCAGTCAAAATGTGATTTTGATCAAAATAATGTGGGAATAGTTTTATCTCAAAAGCCTATTCTCAATCAGTTTCTAAACATACAAACAAATATTCTCTCGCAAGCTATTCTGATCCCCCCACTCCAGCTATGCATTGTGTGTGTGTGTGTGTGTGTAATACCTCCAACTAATCATACAACCAATTGAAGATATTATTGGTGTCTCTTGAGATTTGAGAATCAACGTGATCTCTGTTTTCTTTGGGTTGATTCTGAATGAAATCCCTGAACCCTTTTTTTTTTAATAATTTTTTTTAATTTGACGCATTAGGCAACTTATTGTCCGCATCACATGGGAAGACAGCATCGGTGTGCCAAATAGTAGATAATTTATTAAAATTAATCAAATCGGAATCGATTTATGGACTTCGTGGATTTAAATGAATTTTTATGAGAATCATTATGAGATTTAAAGAGGAAAAAATGTAATCACAACAAGTATAAATGATTGTGATTGCATACTGCTCAGTTTGTTATGAGATTTTTTTAGTAATTACATTTATTTCTCTGAATCTTATAGTAATTCTTCTAATTTTGTTATATTTTTAGCTATAATTTCATTGTACTTCCTTTATTCGAGCGATAATTTTTTATTGGGGATTATGCATAAATAAAATTAATTTCTTAAATTATTATTATTATTTTTGGACAGAATTCTCTTAAATTATTAAATAGCCAGAAAACTATAAAACGTATAAACTTGATAAGAAGCAGTTAGAAAAATAAAGAAGCACTAAAATGTAAAAAAAAAAAAAAAGCAGTTAGAAGTAATACTTTAAAGAAACTAACACATATTTTTTTATAAGTAGTTATTCTAACAAATTTTTTTAGTCTCTATAAATTAATTATCTAACTCTCACAAAGAAGTGAAAAATTTATTGTGTTTTGGTCCTTTTAATCTCTGACCTTCTTTACCTTGTAATGAGAAATTGCAACTCAGGTTTTCTGTTAAACTCACCAACAACATAGTAAAATTTTCTTGTATGTTGATTTACGTTAATTTTCTTGTAGTGTAATACAAAGCAGATCTTATATTTAAGACATAAATGAATACTTTTATCACATCTATATTCTGTACATATTTTATTCTTTTAGATAGAATCAGTACCTTTATTTTTAAAAAAAACAGTGGGTATGAGAGCGGACTTGTGTCAGGCTTAATTCCCTCTTTTTGGATTTTCGGTCAGGATCCATTAACCTCACTGTGGGCTATTATGGGCTTCATTAAGGGGTTCTGGGCTTTTCGTCTTAAGAGAGCCCAAAATAACCCTTAAAGGAATGTGGGCCAGGTGTTTAGGCCTTTCTGCTAGCCCTTATATGTCTCTATGTGTTCCTAGTTTTGGGCCAGTACTTATGGATTGTTTCCATTTTATAAAACAAGGAATTTTTCTAATCTTCTTATTCTTATTTTTCCCCCCCTCTTTCATGAACAAAAGCAAAAATAAAAAAATAAAAAATAAAAAGAGACTTCCTTTATATAACTCCTTTACCCTATTAACCCAAAAAAGAAAAGGAAAGCAAAAAAGCTCCGTTACGCAAATTCTGAGCCATGGCTTGCTGAAGTGTTTAAAAAAAAAATCCCAATTATGATTCTAGGCTCTAATTTGGTTTAAAAAAATATTCAGGTTTGCTTAAACTAATTTTTCTGTGCTTCAATTATTTTTTCTTAAATTCCGGATTAAAGGACAAAACAAAATCAGATTTTTATACATCATTTTATTTCTCCATCTAGAGAGGCTATTATAGTAATTATAATTCATAAATGATATCACTCGTTTATCATAATTTTTATACTATATATGAATAAATAAATTAAAGTAAATATTAAATTTAAACAGGATTAATTATTATTTTTGCAGGATTAAGTGTTCTAAAGTAAATTTTATAAGCTGGAGGCTTGCTTTCTGTCGTAAACAAATCCTCTTGAAAATGCCACCAAAAAAAAAACAAGAAGAAGAAGATTCGTTTTGTACGCGACGCCACGGCCTCGATTATTTTGCCTCCGATCCCATCCGCCGCCCTCTCTGTCTCTGTCGCTCTTCTTTCATCACTTATTATTACTCCTTTTATTTATTTTTTAATTCATTTTGATTCTGCGCCCATCCCTTACAGGTCCTGTCTGACTCGCTGGAATTTCTGAATTTGCCTCAGACAGTGAAACTGAAAATTGATTTTTCATTATTTTTTTTGAGAAATGATTTCTGATAATAGAAACACCTTTTATCTTTGAATTTTTCACATGCCAACCCTGCCCACAGTAATCTATAGTAATTTTTAATCATAATTTATAAAATACGATGTAAATATATATATAAATTTTTTTTATCTCAATTTATATGAAATATATTTATAAACACCCAAACAAACCAAAAGGACACTTTGTTTCCGTCACTGCCTCCCACGCTATCAAGAAAACCAAAGACGATTCATCTTCCACAACGAGGTTGGGTCATTAAATGTCTGTTCGTCACTTGAAGTTCGAAATCTGGTTTGCTTCTACCTCTTTTTTTTTTTTTCCCAAAAAGAAAAAAGAAGAAGATCTAATTCCATCTAGTGATGATGGGTTTCTTTATCATGATTTCAATCCGCTAACCTAGTGAGATGGATAATTGTTGTTATGTCGATCGCAGTGGGAGTGAGGTCATTTTGGTCCTTTGATTCTTAAAATTTCCATTTTAATAAGTCATATAAATAAGTTAATTATATTATAAGGAACAGGACATGGTTCCCCTAAAATACCCCTACTTAATATTAGCTTATATATCATTTTATAAATTAAGTAAATTAAGGACAACAATTATATCGAGTTGGCCATACGTTTTGTTTCTGAAATATTAATATTTAATAGTACTTAATTAATTATAAATATATAGAATATATGATGGTGTGCAATCAGAAAACTTGATATAATGAATATAAAAAATTTGATTTAAGCCATAAATTAACTGAGAAATAATGATAAATAGAACAATAAAATGGACTGAAAAACTAAATTCAATATGAGAGGTATTATCAACCAAAAATAATCTATTCTATTGAATTTTTCCAACATTTCAAGCATAAGTTTTTGCTACCTCTATTTTTTAATATAAAAATTAGTTAATTAATTTGAATAGATTCAGAAAATTTGTTAAGTCAATTATTTATAATAAATATGTATTATTTTCTTATAATACTTTTGTTAATAATATGTATTAGTTAGTATGGGTGTTTATGAAGTTCAAGTACCTGTTATGCCCTCCTAAACCCACAAAAAAAATGCTCAGCCCGGCCTTATAAAAAGAGGCCCGAACAAAAGTAGGCATTTTCGAGCGGATTTATCATGGGTAGGGTCAGGCATAAGGCAAGATATATTACCGTGCCCGAAAGGATATATAATTATATATATTATAATAATATATAGTGTGATATTATTTTTCAACCACTATCCTTTTTAATTTTGACCAGAAAAATTATCTCCTTTTGTTGCTTGCACTCTCCCATGGTATTAATTTTTTGTTCATTTATTTGTCTCCGCTTTTATATATCATAGTTTATTTGGCCAATATAAGCAGATTAAACATACGGACAACCTCAACGTATAGGCTATAAACATTTTCATTGTACCAATTTTAGCTTATATCATATTTTAAATTTTAAGACTCAAAATGTAGGTTTATTTTGAAATATTTTAAGATATAAAATTATGAAATACATTTAATACATACTATGAGCAAAGTGTTATTACTTGGGCAAAAAAGTCTGCCATGCCTAACCTGCTCTTATCTTGCCCAAAGTAATTAGGATTTTTACTGTGCAGGCCAGGCAACAAAGTGCAAAATACAACAGCTCATATTTTGGGCTGGATATCGGGCAGGAGTCTTGCCCTACCTATGAGCACCCCTACTAGTTAGAATTACTATTTGATAGAACTTTTAATATATACAACTACTAAAAGAATTATTTTTAAAAAATAAATAAATATAAGATATAAAATGAATTAAAATTTTATATTTAAGATTAACTTGAATGTCAAATTAATTTTTATATTAAGCACGGGAATTAGTAACATTTTTTCAATTCCACTTTCCCTACAATGCTTCCAGCAAACCGAACGGGCCTTGTTCTCCTTCGAGATACCCCACCCCTTTGTTTTAGCTTGGGTCGGATCCCTCCATGCCTGTAAACGCCCTCTCCTCTCTCTCTATTTACGTATTCCTTCTCTTTCTCCCTCTCCCACATCCAGACCCAGCACTTCTTCACTCTGAAAAATGTGGCCCCACTTGATGATGGGGTTCTCCGATTACATTCAAGCATTAGAATCTGAACGCCGTAAAATCCATGTCTTCTCCAAGGAGCTTCCTCTTTCCTTGGAGCTCGTTACCCAAGGTAACCTTCCTTTCTGATCCTCCCTTTTGATTTCAGGGCCTCGATTTTACTCCATAGCCATGGAGTTTCTTCCTTTTCTGTGTGATTTTATTCGTTTTCTGATATGTCTCCCCGGTTTTTTGTTGGGCGTGTGGACTAGCCATTGAAGCCTGTAGGCTCCAGTTAAGTGGAAGAACGTCGTCGGGGACGAATTTGAATAATTTGAATGGCCAATCGGAGTGTTCAAGACAGACATCATCGGAAGGACTTGTTTTGGAGGAGTTCATACCTATAAAGAAAAGGACATCCTCGGATTGTGGGGAAGACGATGAAGATGAGCAAAACCCGCTTGAACGCAAGATTGCAAAGGATAATAAGAACGCTGATAAGAGCAAATCGGATTGGCTTAGATCCGTACAACTCTGGAATCCACAATCCCCAGTTAAAGAGGTATTAGAGAAAGTTTAAATCATTCCCTGAATCTTCCCACACGCCCGATCTGTTCATAAAATAACAGAACAGTGATCAATTAATCATAACTTGGTGACCAAAATCTCAGGATATTCCTCGGAAAACGTCGGTGTTGGAAGTAAAGAAAGATGGAGGTGCTTTCGAGCCATTCCACAGAGAACCAAGTGTTGGAAATACTACTTCGTTAACGGCCAAAGCATGCTTGTCGTCGGCGCCGGCGCCGGCGCCGGCCCCTCCAGTCGCCGGAAGCAAAAAGAAAGAAGATAAAGAAGCACATAATAAAAGGAAGCAACGGCGGTGCTGGTCTCAGGAGCTGCACAGGCGCTTCGTGAACGTCCTTCAGCAACTTGGTGGAGCGGATTGTGAGTCTCTTAACTCGCCGAAAATGTTTCTTTATCAATCATCAATCAGTTTATTTACATTAGATTAGAATATGAATTCCTTTTCACCTTGTGAATATAATTATATTTGGTTCTGCAGCTGCAACACCGAAGCAGATAAGGGAACTTATGAAGGTTGATGGCCTAACAAATGATGAAGTGAAGAGTCATTTACAGGTATAAGAAGAATTTAGAGCAATCATTTTAGGATTCATGTCAATCTTTTTGTGTTGATTCAAATCTGAAACGTTACGTTTCTGGGTTTATATATGGACAGAAATTTCGATTGCACACGAGGAGGTCAAGCCCATTGATTCAGAACAATGGCGATTCGCAAGCGGCTCCATTTGTACTGGTGGGGAACTTTATAGTGCAACCGCCGGAACATGCAGCGGCGGTGGCTACTTTGAAGGCGTCAGAGAAAATGCCGACGCTGGGGGCGCCGCTGCCTGGAATTTATGCGCCGGTTCCGATGAAGGGTGATGGGAGGCAACTGGATTTGGGAAATAACTGTTGTGGACGCGTACGTTCAAATTCAGAAGGCAGCGAAGTGGCGGATCATTCAAATTCACCAACTTCGTCTTCCTCCACACACATTTGACGATGCTATTCCAAAAAACAAAAAAAAAAAAAAAAAAAATAATTTTTGGTAACCAAATTGCAGCTCAAAGTGGTCTGGGATACTCCCTTCTGTTATTTCTTCTTCCTACTTCCTTGTGGTTCCGTGTTCAAATTATAGAGATATAGCTCACTGTTCTAGCATATTATGAGATGGATGTGTTTTTGGTCTCTCATATTAAACAAACACTTGTGCTTGTAGTTGGTTTGAGTATCTATCGATTTTATTTTTGGATTTTTTTTAAAAAAACTGTTCAACACTAATAAGGAGATACAACTTTGGGGGAAAAAAGTCTTAGTAAGGGTCCAATGAGAATCTTGAAAATTATACTTAATATAAGAGCCAATTGATTAATTTGAGTAAATTAAGAAAGTTTGTTATGTTGGTTATTTGTAATAAATTGGTAGTATCTTTTTTGAAATATCCTTGCTAATCATGTATATTAATTAAAACTGTTATTTGTTGGAACATTTAACATGTATAACTACTATAATAACTACTTTGAAAAAAAATGGATAAATGTGATAGATAAAATAGATTGGAGTTTTATATTTAGAATCAAATTGAAAATCAAACTAACTCTTATATTAAGGTAATATTACTAGTATTACCAAAAAAAAAAAGGGAAAGCTAAAAATTTCGACTAGGCAATTGAGAAAATGGATAATCTGAAATAAATTGAAGATTTTTGAAGTTGATAACATGAAATATGCAAAAGTTGGCTAAATATCCTCAAACTTATGATGACACTCAGATGTTGAGATCACTACTCCTATTTGTGAAGTTGCGCAACTTTCAAGTTTCAAGGGCAAAAAATTTAGAACTTGGTTGATATAATGTCAAATTAGATCTCTCCTAATGTAATACTTTCCCTATCTCTAAAGTAAGAGCTACTTAATTATCTCACCAAAAAAAAGCTACTTAATTAATTTGAACAGATTGAGAATAAAAATTGTGACATGATGATCTTCCTAGTATACACATGTGGAGCAAATATTATATATCAATTTATAAGTTAAATAAATTAGTTTAGAAAAAATGATAAATATAACATATAACTAATTACCTAACGAGTTCCTACATTTAGGATCGGAGAATTATACAGTATAACTATATGTGTTATATTGTAATTTGGGCGCAACATAGTTGAAGCGTGATCATGGCCACTGCGAGATAATGAGAAAGGTATATATTAAGGAGTGGTACAAAGGATCATAGTGAGATGCTGATCCCTTTCTAAGAATGTCTCCCGAATATGCACTTTCAATATCAAGTTCTTTGGATTCTTCTTACCCCCCCCCCCCCCAAATATTTGATATAATTTATATATACATATATATACAGACACATGATACATATATGTTCTAAATTAACTGTAGCTTCTCATGATTAAATTGGAAATTTGATTAATTATAAACATGTTGCATTTCTTTCGTTTATGCTATATATTAATTTTTCAAGTAAACTCACGATCGAGTTGTGTGTTTATTAATTTTGAGGATTGAGACTACATAAACTCAACATATAAAAACTAAGTTATTGCTTTAACCCCCATTATTATATTTTTGTTTATAATGGTAAATATGGTAATAACATGTTTTTGTTACTAATAATTTAAAATTAAAAGAGTTTATTATTTTAATGCTAAATATATATATGTTCACTTATTCTGATTTCCTTTTAATCAAATTATTATTTTTATACAAGTAATTAAACATAAATGTACTCGTCAAACCATTTTTCCTTTATTTTCATTGCACTATTTTCTAATTTATTTTCTGAAGCAAACAGGCCAAGCATTTATAAAGGTGGCAGGAATTTAATTTTCACCAACTATAATGTAAAGAGAGGAATCTTGATGGAATCTTCTCTATAGTTGGAGAGAGGTCTTCAAATCAATAAAACTATTATGGTAATATAATGGAGCCTTTTAACTTTTCATCGACATCATCAAAGATAATAATACAACAAATCTCTAGGCTTGATCAAATATTTAAACTTTAAGCATAGCTTCGGCCAGAAAGAAAAAGAAAAAAAAATATTTACTTATTTTGAATTATTAGTTGGACTAAAGAAATCACATGAAACAATTTTATAACATGCTCGAATTCTTCAAGGTTAACTGTTCAATAAATGATACATGTAGCATATATTATTTAATAAAATAAAGTGAACAAAAATCACTGCAGTTTATTAAATTTATTGCATTTGCACCGGGTTTAAAATAAGTTACATAAAAATGCGACCTCCTATATTTTTAAGGGCAAAAAGGTTCATTCAAAACATTCTTTAAAAGAATGAAACTTAAATTAATAGAGGGAAAACCTTTGCTTTATAAATTGCTGACTGGCCATTCAATAATTCAATGTGTCTTTCTAATGTTAAAAATGTCATTCTCTTTTTAACTTTTAACTTGATGGTCAAATTAAACAAAATTCACATGCGTGTAATACTCCATTTTGCCACCATTTTTTTTAACCTCTTATACCTAATCTTTTTCCAATTCCGAAAACCTTCGGATCAGTCTTTGATTTACACATAGTATTTGCAAAATGACCCTAAAGCTTAAGATACGAACATTATATCTATTCAACCACTTTGGTCAAAACTTTCAAGCAGGAAGGCACTAATAATATTAATAATTCTCAATTCAGTGTTAGGTATGTATGTTGGATATTCTATTAATTCTAGACTGAATAACTCCCACGTAAATTACTATAATATATACTCTCTTATCCTCACATATCCGTTAAATAATTAATAGTTAATTCACGTCAATTCTTAGAAATATTAATTAACAAAGCAAGATTATCCCAAAACATGATCTTAAGCTTCTACCAATTATTTCATCCTATCTGTTTGAAATTGTGGAACATTTTGCCCCCGAATTTCATTTAATATTATTATATTTTTTTTCTTGTTAGTTTTTGTATATTCTTTCTTACGTAGATGAATAGCTTTAACCACAAGTTTTTCTATTTTATGAGGCTATGATTGAACCCATGAAGGATCAGATCAATGAAAGTTAAAGTGACGATCTTTTTTCTTCCCCCCCCCCCCTACCAAACCATATATAATGTGTCACTGTTAAAAAGATTTTCACGACCCCTTTTAACTTCAAGGGGTCTCTTCCCTCATCAATTGGATTAACTTTGACAAAAATTTACCTATTCAACGTACGCTTTTCTTCTTGTTTTTTTTTTTAAAATCAGATTCAACAGGCTTTTGAGATTTAAATCTGGACCAGTAATTTGTAGTAATCAATTCGCTTCCATGAGGGTTAATCCTTATCAGCTTAACGAATTAATTAATATTATTTTCTTAATAGGAGCAATGGATTTTAACTTTCTTATTATTATATGACAAGAATTTGAATTTAATCCCTACCACTGCCTAGTTTTTAGCTTATTTTCAATTCTTGAATTAACCGTAAGGGGGGATCTTAGCGTTAAATTGCATATACTTTGCCGAAGTGTAAATGAGTAATTAACAGAAATTTTAATAATAATTTTTTTATTTTACATATATTACTGCAGACGCATGCCATGACATAATAAAAATCATATTTTTATGCATAAGGAAATTGTTAATCACCAAGTTTAAACTTAGATTTTATCCAAATTTCATCATTTAACACACACAAAATACTTGTTATCATTGTTAAGGATCAGATTTATTATGATCTTTTTATTGAATAACCTCTATGTGTCAATTTTTTTAAAAATTTTTTTCTTAATTCTTTCTCACTAATGTAAAAAGGGTCATTATCATTAGTTAAAAAGGCCCTCCATGCGCCTAACACTAGTTTTTCAACTGGTGTAAATATTTCCGATATAAAAAGTATTGGATTTTTTTACACCGGTTTTACCACTACTGTCAAAAACCACATAAACTACACGGTTTGTTCCCAATTTTCTTTTATAAATTTTTGTTTGTTTGTGATACCAAAGTAGAAAAATTACTTTTTCGATATTTAATGTAAGACTTAATTGAGGAGTTAATATTAGTCTTATATGTAAACTTATTTTGCATGTGATACCAAAGTAGAAAAATTACTCCTCCAATCTACTTAAATAAGAGAGGAATGGAGGGAATTAAGAAAGATGTTTATAGTATTTTAGAAAAAAAATCATATTAACTAATTTAACTAATATGCTTAATCTAGTCTAATTAGTTAATTAGTTCTTATATTAAGAACTATAAAAGTATAATTTAGTAAGATGCCTGTCAATCTCTGCAACATTTATTACATATTGGCTTTTCCACAATAAACACAAGTACATTTTTCAAAGGTTTTGGAGGGATACATGATGAGTTATATATAATGCTAATGAATAAGATAATATGAACAGATAATATATCTATTTATATAAAATTATAGCTAAATACTCGTTATGATTTTTAATGATCATATTCATTTTGATCTTTTTGTTGAACAACTTGTCTGTGCCAATTTTTTATTTTTAATAAAAGTCTCTCCCTATAGATGAGTCATTTAATAGAAGTATAGAACTATAATAAGTAGGCACTACTTGGTTTGAAGACCACCTAATCAATCATCATATAATAAAATAACATATAATAACGTGACTCTGTCTTATAAGACAAATTATTAATTATATATAAATAAGAAGTATGTTTATGCATACATGTGTGTGTGTGTAGAGTGGAGTTGGAGATATTAAGAAGTATGTATATGTATACATAATAAAATAAATGATTCAATTGATGAAAACTTGACCCATATTTTATAAGGTTGTGTATTCAAATCCTACAATATGAATATGAGATTTGATGATAAATAATTTGTAAATATTTTTACAAGTATTCTTCAAATTATGTCACTCGCACTAACTAGTGTAAATGCTATGGTGAGCTATAAGACTTGCACTTTCTCCCCAGCAACAAAAGAAGATAAAATAGTGGAGTTGGAGTTAGCCTTTGTGTGTGTGTGTGTGTGTGTGTGTGTGTTGTTGGAGATA